TAATCCGAGATCGGTGGTAATTCCATTCGATCCATTTGAAATCAGGACATGAACTCCCTTAGTATCTCATAATTCCTCTATCTTATCTTAAAAACGTCTGATTTCCCTATCGCAACCATTCTGGCCTTGGCGTGTGCTTTTACGAAGGCGTCTGCCAACATAGCAAACAAATCGATAGAATTCGGTGGCAAGTTGTGATACCAAATCATTGCTCCTTTTGACAAAGTTTCCCCAAATTTTTTCAACAAAACTGACTCGATCTCATTATCATTTAAGTCGTTTCCTTTAATCCCGCAAGTGTACGAGGTAATGTGTTCATTAGGATCACTCGTCCCGTTGTACTTGGGTATATCGGGCATACGAAACTTTTAAGGAATGGGCTTCGGAGCCGCACTCGGAGGGAATGGCTATTGTGCAAATTTTTCGGCATCCAAACCTTTCAAGACCGCGGGTGCTCCCGGTATTTGATCAACACGGGAGTTATACGTCTCCACTTTTTTGTCATTATCCTTTATCATTTTCTCCCCCAATTGATTCTTTTGGTGAGTTCCTTGAGCATCCTCATAATCGTGGGGTCAGTCCCCGAGCCATTACTGTTTGATCTTTCAGGCACCGGCTCAGTACGGCGAGTGATTTCTGATTCGACCACACTTGGAGTTTTATGTTAACTCTGAAGCTGAGCGATAGCAACCTGTTGAGCTTGTAGCATCTCGAATATTAGTTGGAGGCTAACTCCCCCATCTCCTATACCCTGCGTTCCTTGGCCACCAGATCAGACTTCCCTGCGTACACTTCCTCCGGGATCTGCGCCTAAATCTGCATTCAAAGCAATATGTGAACTAACATCGACTGGTTCCATATTTGGCACTTCCCCAGGGTTAATCGATGGTACACCGGCTCCCGGAGCGGCTACATTGTTGTTTTCGCCATGAAATCCAAGACCATCATCGCCGTGTACGGGTGCGTTTTGTGAGTTTGACATATTTTAACCTGAGAACAAAAATTCTTGACAAGAACAAGTGTGAAAATAACGTGTGTTATCAGAATCAATACTGAAATAACCACTATTATCTTTAGCCCCACGGTGGGCGCCAAACTGTTTACCTCAAAAATACGAGTAACAATTAAACTTGTTTTATGGTTTTAAATATACGTGATTTAGTTCAACACTAATTAATAACCAAGAAATCTAACGTATAAATGAAAGAAGTTGAATCAGACCAGTGTTCAAGCCAATCTTGACCTCGAGCAGTAATGGCCTTGAGGTTGGTCAACAAGAACAGTAAAGTAAGGCAGTAAAGTTAAGAGACAATTTTGATGAATAATGAGCAAGAAAGTAATAGAGTATGTTCTTTTGCCAATGGTTGATCATCGTTACAAATGATTGGGGTCCCCTTTATATAGTAGGGGAACCCTAAATAAGGTACATTTCTATTTACAGTAAAGAATCTTATTGGGACAACTGTCTAACTGCTTAGTACGGATTCGTACTAACTAGTACAAATCTATTCCGGAATTTACGCCATGATCTGGGGATGTGGAGGGAATCTTGCTCTTTCTGTTCCAAATCCGTAACGACGTCATCTCGGGGTTGGTCGTACTCGGCTTCGGTGCTCATTGCGTACTTCGATCTTCGAGCCTTATATTCTGTCGTCGGGCTCGAGCTTGGTCCATCGGGCTTGAACTCGATCCATCCTGAACTTGGGCTTGAGGCGACTCTTCGAGCCCGTGAAATCGGGCATACCTGATTTTCACCATATACACATACTTTTAATTTCCTCCATCTTATATTACTACCTATAAGCAGGGGCGGATCTATGTAGTGGGTTTAAGGTAGCACACCACCCGGACACTCAGGAGTGGCGAAGTCAGGAATTTAATCTAGGGTGTTCAAACTTGAAAGAAGTACAAAAAACTCTCCAATAAAGGGTGTTCAATATATGTTATATACCACTAAAATCTAATATTTTACTTATATATTTGTATAACCACCCTTGGAGCCACATAGCTTTGCCCCTGACGCTCGGGTAAAATTTAATGTATGTATATATATTGATATTTTAACTGCTATATACTAAAAGAATGGCACCAGTAGCAATGTGTTGGCTATAGGTGCCATGGTTGAAACCCAATATTCCAGATGCTAGATGCAAGATCAAAACACCATATACTTTCTGCTCCTTTGCTTAAATTTTTGTATTTATTCATCTATCGATTTCCTCTCTTAATTTTTGTACTTCTTCATCTTTCGTTTCCCTCTCTTAGTACAATCATCTAATTATTTATTGAATAATATATTTGCTTCTTTCTTTCAATATTTTATTTAAATGTGATTTTAGCATTTTTTATTGTTTCCATGGCATCAATAGACATATAAGAGGTGTATTTGCTAATTTAAAATGTTATTTTAACTTTATGCATCTAATCACATCATTCAATAGAGCTAGAGAATTATGTCTAATTGGACAAAATTTATTTAGTTTTAACAACAACAAACCCAGTATATTCACACAAATAGGATCTGGGGAGGGTAATGCGTACGCAGACCTTACCCCTGCCTAGTGAAGGTAGAGAGGCTGTTTCCAATAGACCCTCGGCGTATAAGGAACAAAATTTATTTAGTTTGATGGTCATAGATTTATTTATGCACTAAAAGTTTGCAAATCGAACCGTATTAGTTCAAAATAGATCGAGCTGAACCAAAGCCAACCGAATTAGTTTAAGATGGATTAAACTAATAAAATGTACACACTAATTCAATCTCCTTCACTAACGGTGGATTTGCACTAAAAAGGCACAGGTAACCATTAAATCATGGATCCGCCTCTGACTATAAGGATCGATTAAAACAAGATCTACAAGCAAAACCAAATGTAGAGTCCGAAACTTTTCTAATGTTTTTTCGGACAAAAAACACGTTTTTACTACAAAAAAAAAGTTACCTAAATAGCTAATTCGCAGTACTATACTGCGAATTACCTTAACGGAAATTTTGCCGTTAAAGTAATTCGCAGTATAGTACTGCGAATTAGTAAAAAAAAATTTTTAAATAAAGCGCAGTAGAGTACTGCGAATTGAGACACTCCGATTTTTGGGCCCAGCAATTCGCAGTACTATACTGCATATAAGCAATTCGCATTATAGTACTGCGAATTGCCCTTAATAAAATAAATCCTCCTTCTTCTTCCCCAACACAATTCGCTGCCTGGCCCACTTTAAAAAACAAAGTTGTTTCTCTGCTGGTCCCCCCCCCCCCTCCGTCAAATTAGTAAAAAAAAAATGTTGGTCCCCACCCGTCTTCTAAAAAGCAAAGAGTGTAGGTCCCACACACAAGACAAGCTTTGGATTCCTTCTTTCGGGTGCAAAAATTCGATTTCAATCAAATTCAAAAATCTTAAATCGAGGTATTTCGATTTTGTTTATGTCGACACTCGTATAGTACATGCATATTTGTATTGTTTAATGTGTTTTCATGTTAATTTGTGTTATGTTTGTATTTAAATTTGTATCTTATTTATACCCGATTGATTTATTATCTTTGGGACAAAAAAATATTAAAATCTGATAAATAATTTGTATTGTTAATGTTATGTTTTTATTTGGTTAAATAATAAATAAATATTATTTATTTAGTTTGTTGTTCATATTTGTATGTTATGTTTGTTGTTTTTATATGTAATAGTGACCTTTTAGCGTAGTAAGATAAAGAGCCTTTTAGTGTAGTAAAATATAGAGCCTTTAATTACATAGAAGTAACTGAGGAAGTTAGAACAACAAAGGTTGATAATGGGAAGAGTAAAATGCTGAATGATTGCATGCCTTCATCTCGAATGTAACGATCATAGAAAAAATTCAAACAACTGTACATGCAAGTGAAAATTCTCAGAGATCGGAACCAAACAAAGATGCAGAAGTCCCGGTATGGGCAAATTTGTTCGCTAGGAATAGAATGGCTTCTAATGGCCTTGCTTTGTCTTACATTCCACCGACAATTGTTGACGGAAGTGTAGTTATTCAACTAGATCCTAAGGAGACAGCAAGGGAAGCTGAAAAATGGAAACATTCATTGATTGTTGCGGTAATTGGGGAAATTCCTGGGTATAATCACATTAAGCGATACATAAATCAAAATTGGTCTACGACATGTTCTGAGCTATTCTAGCATGACAGGGATATTACATAGCAAAGTTTACAGGGGAAGAAGATTTGAAGGAAGTGTTATATGGAGTGCCGTACACAATAAACAATAGACCAATCATTCTGAAGAAATGGTCTCCAGATGCTGAGTTTGATGCCACTTTTCTGAAAGAGACACCTCTATGGGTCTCTTTTCCCAATTTACCTATGACCTACTGGAGTAAGGACTCGCTTAGCAGGCTAGGGAGTGCAATTGGAATTCCCTTATTTGCAGATGAATGTACAGCTAAGCAATCTAGAATATCTTTTGCTAGGATGCTGATTGAAGTTAACATTACGAAACCATTGCCAAATGAAGTCAAAATAAGGGATCCATCGGGAAAGTTACACCAGCAAGTGGTGAGGTTTGAATGGCAGCCTGAGTTCTGCCCTGAATGTCAACAAATGGGACATGTGTGTAAACGAAATGAGGAAATGCAAAGGAAGCAAATGCAGAAACCAAATGGAAAGACACAGCAACCAGTCAAAGAGTGGAGAAGCAAGGAAAAGATGGCACAGAACACAAGTGTAGCACAAACAATAACTGATCAAGCTGTGACAAATGTTAAGGAACCCGCACAGGATATGGAGCACAACAAATCCCCTAGAACTAGTAGGACAACAATGACAAAGACACAAGAGCATAATCAGAAGAATGGGAAAGAGACTAACTCAAAGGGGCAAAATGAAGGTGCTACTAGTTCTAGCAATGCACAGATTGGTATGAATTTCTCTATTGCCACACAAAATGCATTTGGGATTCTAGAAGGAGGACAAGAGGATAGGCAACCACCAGATAGAGGTGGTACAAATGATCATCTGAAATGACAATGCTTATGTGGAATGTAAGGGGGGCAAACCAAAGGCATAAGCAGAAAGAGTTAGCTAAATACATCAAAGACAAACACATAACACTAGCTGGATTTGTAGAGACTAGAGTTAAACAGCATAAAGCTTCTGTAATTGCCCCTAAAATAGCTCATAACTGGGAACTGGTGCACAACTATGACGAAGCAGCTAATGTTAGAATATGGATTATGTTTGATACAAACACTTGGCAGGTGGATATAGTGGTTAAGGATGCACAGTTTATTCATTGTAATGTTACTAGCACTAATGTGAATTGTGCTATGACTGTGACATATGGATATAACAGTGCAGACTTGAGGAAAGGATTGTGGCACAAGCTAAAGATACTGGCTCAATCTATTAATCAACCATGGCTCATATGGGGAGACTTTAATGCAATTAAGACTACTCAAGACAGAATATCAAGACAGGAAGTAACATTGGCTGATATCCAAGACTTTGCAGATTTCTGCTTAGATACCATGACTACTGATATTCCTTGGAGGGGAGACTATTTCACCTGGTCTAATGGTCAAATGGGAGTGGAGAGAGTAATTAGCAGAATTGATAGAGCACTAGGAAATAGTGAATGGATGATGAAGTTTGGGCACCTAACAGTTGAAGTGGGAGATCCATTCATATCAGATCATTCTCCTTTGTCCCTGAAGTTTGAACAAAGGAAGTCTGTAAAAATCCCATTTAGGTTCTTAAATGTTTGGGCTGAGCATGAGGCATTCCAAAGCATAGTTACTAAAGGATGGCAAGGAAGACAACATCAGTGCAAACTAGTAACCATATGGAATAGAATGAAAGAAATGAAAGCAGATTTCAAGAGTTTAAACAACAGGAATTTCAGAGATGCAGCAGGGAAAATTGACCAAGCAAGAAGGGAGATAATTGAATGTCAACAAGAGATGAAGAATGGCTACACTGATCAATTAAGAATGATGGAGAAAGCAGCTAGAGAAAAACTAGAGAAATGGTCACTCATTGAAGAAAAGATTTTCCAACAAAAATCAAGAGCTCAATGGATCAGAACAGGAGATGGAAACAATAAATACTTCTTTGCAGTGATGAAAGAAAGAGCATGCAGGAAAAACATTACAACCCTAACAGCTTTGAATGGTAATATGCTGACAGAGNTTGGGGTTATATCCAGTAGATTTGGGTCATTTTCAAGCTCATTTTGTTTCATTCGATTTGCTGGTGGATCATTTCCTGATTTTATTTTGATTTTGAATTATTTCTGGACTCCTGACTCATTTCTGGGTTAAATCGGAGTGTGATTGTTGCTGTTTGAACTCCACACATTGCTGCCTGCTTTGCTGTTGCTAACTTCTTCTCCTTCTCGCTACATTCTGTTCTCCAGGTACACATCTGTATATTCGATGACTGTGAGCTGAAAATGTGCAGAAATGAATTTATGAAGAATGAAGCTATTTAGAAAAATTAAATTCTGATTTAGTTTATGTCCAAACCTGTATATTCAGCATTTAATTCATCAACACTGTTTAAGTTTTGCTTGTTTTGTATTAAATAGACTGTACAAACTGTTATGTACCAGATTCATGTGGTCACTTCAAGTTGAACATTGGTGACAATTAGTCTCATGCGAGGTTGATAGATGATTTGTGAATCGCCTCAGATCTGTGTGATGTAGTAGAACACATAATTAGTAGCGTTTTCATAGTATGAATGTGATTATTACACCTTTAGTGATACCCATGAATTTCCCAATAGCTAATTAAGTAAAACAATCTGAGTCTTAAACTGGACTTCTAGTGCTCAATGTTTCATTAAATTGAAAGGAGAATTTTGCTTTTCCTTGATTACAAATTGTTGAATACGTTTTGAATAACCTAAAACGATCTCAGAGATGTTTGTTCAAATGGAATTGAGGCTTAGTGTGGTTTAACAGTCAGGGTTTGACGATCCGTTTCCGGACAGTTTGGGCTAGTGTTATCACAGACGGCCCAGCTTTTGTCTTAAATATATATCCGTTTGGACCTAAATCCAGGCCTGTGACTGGCCAACCTTATGCTACTTGGACTTTAATTCTTTTGACGGGATGTGTTCAAGGCCCAAGCTGGTTGAAGTTTGAATTTGCATGAACTCATAGACCCCAAATACAATAGTTCCTAAACAATATTAATTAGTTAGGACTTCTCCTTTATTATTAGAGACAAAAAATAAATAGAAAACTATAGTTTGCTTTAAGCCGGCCTTAAAATAATAAAATGAGATGAGCCTCGCCAAACAAAATGCATAAACTGCGGGGCCCTCATTAAATACTTTATTAAAATATTTTAGAAATTCGGGACATGCCATTTAGCGAATTTTCATGGCTCCCCGCAAAGTTAATAAGACGCTAGCCACTCTAGGCGCGCTTTTAATAATATTATTTTCCTAAATTCGGGAGTGCATTTCATGCAACCCAAATCTAAATTCCAAAATGTTGAATAAGAGGTGTTGGGGATCCGGGTGCATTTCATGTGGCGTGATCCAGAAACACGCTCTTAAACGGCGTTCACTTTCGTAAAAAATAACTAAAAGCGGTAAACAATCTTTAAATTGCACTACAGGTTGGAGCATGTACCAAAAATTAGATTTTAGCCATATATGATAATTTAAGCGACCGTGCTAGAACCACGGGATCCGGGGGTGCCTAACACCTTCCCTCGGGTCAACAGAATTCCTTATTCAGAATTTCTGGTTCGCAGACTCCAATTGGGAAGTCGAAATTTTCCTCGATTTGGGATTTAAATTAAATCGGTGACTTGGGACACCAAAAGCCAATCCTTTCCCAAGTGGCGACTCTAAAAATGAGATAAATAATCCCATTTCGAATAATGTCACTTTAAATGGAAAAACTCCCTTATACATTATCCTTCGGGGTAGGTGTGTAAAAAAGGAGGTGTGACAAGCATCTCGTTATCTTTCTGCCTTACCTTAAAAAGGTCTGATTTCCTCATTGCAATTTTGAGGGCTCCGGCGTGTGCCTTTACAAAAGAATCTGCAAGCATAGCAAACGAATCAATAGAATTAGGGGGTAAGTTATGATACCAAATTAAGGCACCCTTCGATTGAGTCTCTCCAAATTTTTTCAATAGTACGGATTCAATTTTGTCATCTCCTAAATCGTTTCCTTTGATGGCGCACGTATACGAGGTGACGTGTTCATTCGGATCGGTCGTCTCATTATACTTGAGAATCTCGGGCATACGGAACCTCTTAAAGATTGGCTTCGAAGCCGCACTAGGGGGTAATGGTCTTTGCACGAACTTTTTAGAATCCATCCCTTCCAATATTGGTGGTGCCCCTGGGATTTGATCAACACAGGAGTTATATGTTTCCACTTTTTTGTCATTATTTTCAATCTTTTTCTCCCCGGACTCAATTCTCCTGGAGTGTTCCTCGAGCATCCTCATAATTTTGGGGTCAGTCCCCAAGCCATCATCGTTTGATTTTTCCGATATCGGCTCAGTACGTCGATTGTTTTCATGTCCAGCTGCACTCGGAGTTTTATTTTGACTTTGAAGTTGAGCAATGGCGATCTGTTGAGCTTGCAGCATTTCGAATATCACTTGGAGGCTGATTCCTCCATCACCCACGCCTTGTGTTCCTTGACCACCAGGTCGGGCTTCCCTGTTTACACTCCCTCCGTGGTTTGTGCCTAAATCCACGTTTAGAGTAATATGAGAACTAACATCAACTGGTTCCATGTTTGGAACTTCCCCAGGGTTTACCGGTGGTATGTTTTCACCAAGACATTCGTTGTCATGAGCAGGCGCATTTTGTGAGCTAGACATGTTTCAGCCTGAGAATCAAAAATTCTTGACAAGAAAAAGTGTAAATATAATGTGTGTAATAAGATCAGTAGAGGAACAATCACTATTATCTTTAGCCCCACAGTGGGCGCCAAACTGTTTACCTCGAAAATACGAGTAACAATTAAATTTGATTTGTGGTTTTAAAGATACGTGACTAGATTCAATACCAATTCATAATCAAGAAATGTGAGGTAGAAATGAAAAAGACAAGTGAATCAAACCAATGTTACTTGACAGTAATGACCTCGAGATGGTGATCTCGAGATGAGCTAAGAGCAATTAAGTAAGAAAAGTAAAGCAAGAGCAACAGAACTAAAGGACAATGCTGATGAACAATAGACAAAAAGTAGTGAGTATATTCTTTTCTCAGTGATTATGTGTTGTTACAAATGATTGGGGTCCCCTTTATATAATAGGGGAATCCTAAATATGGAATATTTTTATTTACAGTAGGGAATATTCCTGATACAGCTGTCTAACCGCCTAGTATGAAATCGTACAATCATATTCCGGGATTCGCGCCATGATCTTGGGGACTTGGCAAAAATCTAGCTCATTCTGTTATAAATCCTCAACAGTACAATTTCGGGATCGAGCATACTCGGCCTCGGTGTATGTCGTGCTTCAGTCTTCGGGCATTGTACTCTGTCCTCGAGCTCGGATCTGATCCCTCGAGCTCGAACTCGACCTTGCCCGAACTCGGGCTCAAAATGACCCCTCGAGCCCATAGATCGGAGGCATACGATTTCGACCGTATACACCACATCAAGGGGTCTGGGAGAGTAGTGTGTACGCAGACCTTACTCCTACCTTTATGAAGGTAGAGAGGTTGGTTTCAATAGACCCTCGGCTCAGGAAAACATAAGCACCACATTAACTAAAAGATAGACAAGGAGAGACAACACCAAAAATCCATGTAAAAGTAGCATAAAAACAACACGATAATAAGATGATCAAAATGAAAGAAAACGACGGGTAGTCAAAGAAACCTACTACCAACCGAATGCAAGAGTGCATACTGATACTACCGGTATGAACAATCCAGATCACCTATCCTACTACCTTAATCTTCGACCTCCACACAGTGGCGGAGCCAGAATTTTCATCAAGAGGTGTCAAAGTATAAATAATTAGATACATCGAAAAACAAGGGGAGTCAACGTATAGTAAAATATACATAAAATTAAAAAAATCATCTAGCAATATAGTGTAATTTTCCGGCAAAGGGGTGTCGCTTGACACCCTTTGGTTCAATGTGGCTCCGCCACTACCTCTACACCTTCCTATCAAGGGTCATGTTCTCGGTCGGATTTTATTAGATGTTGTATTGAAAAAAAAAGGAAATAGAAAAAAGAGTCTGAAACTTTTTTGATGATTTTTTGGACAAAAAGCACCTTTTTAATGCAAAAAAAAGATACACAAATAGGCATTTCACAGTACTATACTGCGAATTGCTTTAACGAAAATTTAGCCGTTAAAGTAATTCACAGTATAGTACTGCGTTTTATTAAAAAATTAATTTTTTAAGCAATTCGCAGTACTATACTGCGAATTACTCGTTTCATTTATGAGTATGGGCCCAGCTTTATTTTGTTGATGCAATTCGCAGTACTATACTGCGAATTACTAATTTGCAGTATAGTACTGCGAATTGCATTAACAAAATAAAACCCTTCTTCTTCCTTGGACAACGACAGAATTCGAACCCCCC